AGTGGCCTTCATCATGATAAGGTGTGTTAGTTTTAATTTGCCTTGTTATGTATAATATTTCGATAAACAAATGTGTCAACTTGAAACAATTTTCTACAGTTAAACATTAAATATGAACAATTATTTGTTATCGTCTGATCATTCAGATTATTACTTAAATTGTAAACTTTTTAATGTCTCTGCAGTAACATATCCTCTATCCTATCATATAGTGTATCCTTATCTCAATTAATACATAACGCTCGAGCATGTTCACACTATACGGATATCATTTACCACGGTGTGTTTCTGACACAAAAACCAAAAATAAACGAATACAAAATTGCATTTAATCGGTTTTACGGTCACCTTACTGATGACCAAAACAATGTGTATGTGTCTCAACTCACTAGCGACATGATTTTGCGGTCTGAGGTCATTACATAATAGTCGTTTGATGTCTTAATTTACCTATTGTAACCTATTTCCAATTGTGATATTTTAATTGAGTGTGGATTCGTATGGCGGGTGGTGCATCCATAGCAGTGTACCCTGTCAAAGATCTGGTATCGCCTCTCTTGGTGTTCATGAAATTCCCTTAGAGTTTTTTTTACCCTAATTTGCATTTTTCTAATTGATTGATGATATTTGAACATCTAAATAATGTTGACATATGATTAAACAAGTAAGTAATATTGTCACAATGAGGGGTCTAACTATTCAATTTACGTAACTAGACAATCAATGGACATTTTAGAATCTCAAATAAAAAAAACAAGTAAATTAGTGCTTTGGACTAGTGTACAACATTATTTTGAATGTGAAAAGGTGATTCAAGTTTATATAAGTAGAACATGTTTCATTTTTTATTTTATCTTTTGCTCCTTTTTTAAGTTATTTGCTTATGCAGTTTAAATAGATTGCATGTTTTAAAAAATATGTCTCGTTTAATGTTATTCCTGTTTGGGTTTTGTTTGCAATATATTATTCCCATTAGTTGTTAAAGTTGCAACTGAATAAGTTGAATAATAGGAGTAAATACAACTAATTGCGTCCCAAAGCTAGTAATGACAGTTAAAAGTAATCTAGTCTTTTTTTCTAGTGGTGATCAAAGACAATAAATTATTACAAAAAGTAAAATAAGAAAAATATCGAACTACAAGAAAAAAATGAAAACGGAAAGTCCCTTAATAAATGGCAAAAGCAAAAGCTCAAATACATCAAACAAATGGAAAACAACTTTCATATTCCAGACTTGGTACAGGCATTTCCTTATGTAGAAAATGATTGATTAAACCTGGTTTCATAGCTAGCTAAACCTCTCACTTGTATGACAGTCGCATATAAATCCATTTTATTGACAACAATTTGTGAGCAAAACAAACAGACATAATAGGTAAAATGTCAAAAAATACAGCAGTCAACATTGTGTTATAATCTTAATCACTTTAAAAACAAACAACTTTGTCAACAAAGAAAAACCAAATGGCGTATGTACACTCTCAAATGACTTGAAAGAGATTAAACAAGTGACAGTTAACCAAAAATATTAAAGAAAAATGAGAATTACATAGATATTAATTTTAACGCACTTTATTTAACTAGAAACCAAACAGGTAAATAACGTTAGAATGGAATAACAAAGGACTATTGATTGTTAAATTAAATGAATCTGTCTAGTATGTATATGTTTAAGACTAATAAAAAGTAGTGTACTTTTTGTCACAGTAGAAATCGTGTTGATATGGAACAATAGCGATACGAGTGCAGAAAAAAAACAGAATTTTGTAGCTCGAAATTTGTATCACCGTTGGAGGTATTGTTAGTTTCAAATAAAAGATGGAGAACAATTGGTAAAGGGATGTTTAAGTAAATAAAAAAAAATTGATGTAATAATATAAATATTGAGGATAAAACAAGATTGCTACGCCGTAACGAGGTGTCCAATTTCCTCCATAAAAATTGTCTGATAAAAATTACGGTATAATATGGTACACCAATCTTTGACTAAGTATGATCGCTTTCTGTAATACGGTCTCAGAAGAATTGTGTTCACAAGGTGTAATTGTAACAATAATTAAAAAAAGAAATAATGGCCAACGACTCATAATTCCTGTAAAAATGGTCAAATGAAAATGGCGGTAAAGTATGGTCAACTACACATGATGGCAATCAAAACTACTGAGTATGAGAGCTTTCTGTAAAACTGACTCAGAAAAGTTGCGCTCACAAAGTGTCAATGTTACAATCCTTGGGGTTCGGTATTTTAGATATTTAATTTTTTACAATACAAAAACAAAATGATTAAGGTTCAATAGCTCCCGTCAAAATTGTCAAAATAAACTGTAGATATAGCTCGGTCAAGGGAATATGACGACAAACAATCCTACCCAGTATGAAACTTTGTATCAAACGGTCTCTGAGGGTATCCGTTTCGGCAGGACGAACGAAACAAAGGACGGATGGATGGAGACCAATACAATATCCTCGCGGTGCGACTTTCGAGTGGCAATAAAGTCACTTTCGAGGGGCAATGAAGCAGATTTGAAAACTCACAATCACTAAATGAGTAATGATAGAATATATTTTACATCACCTCTTTAATCCGAACAGGATAGATAAAAACTCAGAAAAAACATTGATTTAAATGTATAAATCTAACATTAAAGTAAATTTTGACTGTTAAAACTGTTGAAACATAATTTTTTATATTAATAATATTATATTTGAATCAATCAAATTATTGAATTTCTATGAAAAGTAGCCTTCACACTTTTATATAATCATTATCTAATTTATTGAATAGACTAAATCAATTTTGTCGCCTGTTCCAAACGAGTGTGTGGAATAAATTCATCCAAATATTGATAAGCATTTAAAAATATTACGTTTACCCATTTGTTAAATATGGGTTAACGATCTTTGTACATCGATAGACTACTGTTGTGTCCCATTTATGATCTCTGACGGTTATTCGTTTCGACACCTAATACAACTAACATGTAAATGTATAGTTCCTGGTTACTCCATTTCGTGCCCAAACTCCCATCGAATCTTAGGCTGTTGATTGATTTATTAATATTTGCTTTACATCCAGTGGAAAATATTTCATGCTTGTTTAGAACGAAAACCAATTAACAATAAAAACAAGAGTTAGGTTCTGCAATAGGGGATATACCATTATGATAGACGTGAAATTTGGAATTCCACTGGAAAATGATAGAATAATTTATGAAATATAAAATTGAGAATGGAAATGGGGAATGTGTCAAAGAGACAACAACCCGACCATAGAACAGACAACAGCAGAAGGTCACCAACAGGTCTTCAATGCAGCGAGAAATTCCCGCACCCGGAATACAGATATTAAGGCTTGCAACAGGCCACCTACAGATTCCTCTAAGAGTTGTTGCAATGGTTCTTAACGTGCTGAATGTGTGGCACTCTCTTTACACGATGCATCGGATTTTACGTCCCCGTTTTGAACGTACGAAACTGTTAGTGTATATATCCAGCACAGCCTTCTTTGACTATGATTTTACTGTCGCTCGGAAGAAGACCCAGGGATGATGATATTTCTATAAACTAGTCAACCCTTGGGGTGCCAATATATTGGATGTAGACTGCGTACAGTGTTTTTTCTGAAGGAAATGGGTGCAAAGCTAAATGATGAAAATTCATGATCATAAAAACCTAATACAGGTCATTGTATCTATTACATTGCAAATTAGCGGTAAATTATTATGAATCAGTTCCTTCAAAATATTGCAATGTCAGAAAATCATGCTATTTACAGAAACTATTTTATCAAAATATTTTATTAAATTATCAATACTTCTACAAATGAAATCAAAATAGGTTGTGTAACAATTGTTTTCGATTTGGCGGTCCGTGTACAATGTAATTGTAATTAATTATATCATGGGGTCCTCGTACAGTTGATAGATTTGCCAAAATAAGCAACACTAAGGGTAGCAGATTTATAATTCCTTATTTAAGAATACGGGAACCAGTGGCTACTGATTAGTGCTATTGCAGCTTTACTTGTAATTTGAACGGGGGATAATAATTGGTAAGTTCCCCTTTTAATCTTTCTAGAAAAGGCATCAATCATTTAGTTACATGAAAGGCAGAAATTAACATAAGTTGTTCCGAAATAATCATCGTCTGTTTTTTGGCCCTTTTATTTATGAGAAATTAAGAATATGTTCAGTTCGTCAAAGACATTGGCCTTTAAGAATTTCATGAGGTTGATAGGTCTTAGTTGCAGGCAAACTGGATATTTTAAAGGAGAGTTATTATCTCTCCGATTCGATGCTTCAGACATGATTTGTATAAAAATAAGGAGATGAAGTATGATTGCCAACGAGACAAATATCCACCAGAGTTCAAATGAAGTGGATGTAAGCAATTAAAGGCAACAGTACGGCCTTCAACAATGAACGATGATTCAAATTTAATTTCTTCAATAGTAGTGGCCAATGAGTACATTTTCTTGGACTTTCAAGAATAATAATCATGTGACTCTTGGTGTCATCAAGTTGTGTTTGCTAAACATAATACTATTACTGTTGTTCTTGTAAACGATAAACAGACTTTTTACTTTCTAAATGAAAAATATGTGTTAAAAAGTCTTATTTTAGCCTGCCTTCTGTGGGCGTCGAGGTGGTAACTGCGCTATTCGGTAACTGAACACTGTGCTTGATTCATTGTATTTAGTAAGAAAAGTCTAACGATGAAGTTTACTTAATTGCTAATGCTCAATTATTTGTACATGCCTTCAAATTAGCTGGAGTAATTTAGCACAAAAATATTTTGTTTGTTTAAACAAAGTCCATTAAACATAAACAAGATATACCAGTAGGATAAACAATTGTAGTTGTTATCGTTTAGCTAAATAATCTGCTTCATAAGTATATGCAAATCAATTAAAAATGCTTTAATGATTCGTTTAAAAATGTGCGGTTGTCAATAGTATTGACGAGTTGAAACATTTCTGCAATATCGAGTGAAATGTTTACGCATTTTACCTACGAATCATCCAGACAATAGATAGTCACTGAATCTTACTGATATTCTAAGTACTAGCGGAATAAATGTTGCACATATTTTCCTTTTATCTCGTGATTTATTTGTTGGCTCAAAGTGTTACGACACTAAGTAAGTATAGATTTGTTTTAATTTTCAAGATTTCATTTATTACTGAGGTAGAGACAAACACAGTCGGCGAATGATTAATAAAGTAATTTAATCGTGATTGGAACTAACTTTTGGAACTAACCTAAAGTTGCCTGAATTTCGGGTTTGTTTTGCATTGACTGATAATAAATCATATCGAAAAACAAAAACATAAAAACAATAAATAGCTTAAAAGATAAAAAGATATAATCTAATAAAAAAAACAAAAATACACACAATACATAACTGACATTCCAAACGACTTCAATTATTAAGATTGTGAAATAAATTAGTAAATTCTACACTGACTCTCTCTGAATGTGTAGTTTATAATTGATAAGAAGCTAAGAATATAATTCTAAAATTAAAGCAACAGTGGTTTACCGATGTTCAAATTACATTTATCGATAAAGATAATAAAAATCAACGTAACAAAGACCACCCGGTCTTATAAATTTGGTTTGAACATTCCCGATGAAGCTAAATCTGTTGAAACAACTTCGGACTCACCAAATTTATAAAAGTTTTTTTTTGTAATAGATTAATTGCAAATTCTAGCAAATATATATTTTTTTCAATGTTTTTAATTGTTTTCATTTAAGTATGTGAAAAAAATTAACTATGTATAAAGGTAAAAGCCTTTTGATGAAGACATGACTATCTAGGCTTAGATATTACTCCCTTGTAGATAAAATATTTTTAGGAATCATCGAATATAAAAGTAGAACTAATATACAGACATTTGTATTTTTCACTTAATTTGAACTACTGTAACAGTGGAAATGAAACTGTAAATTTAAGGTATAGTAAATATAGCACATAAAACGATAGATTATGCACATAAAACGATAGATTATGCACATAAAACGATAGATTATGCACATAATTCTGGATTGAGAGTAAATCCGGTCCCACTAGTGGTACACGTCGTGTTTCTAATGACGGTTATTATAATTCACTTAAAGAATCCAAAATATTGAATTTTTAAGATTTATTGCATTAAAGGGAAACATCGCAAAAAAATTAAAAATAGATATTATGTTCATTATGTATAAAAAAGCACAAATTCATAAATATTAAAGTTTTATTCTGCTAGATAAGAGATCACCATCGATTTTAAACTGAGAGTATCAATTCTCTGCATGCTGCCATTTTGTCATCTTCCCGGTTTACGAAACCACTTGATATCTATAAACCACAAAGGACCAAAACCAGCAGTAACATAACGTAGTCGTAATTGAGTGTCGATATCTTGTCAAGCGTACGGTCGTTTTATTCGACAAGGAAAGCATAAACAGTTAACCGGGTCACAAAAATGATTATAATAGACATGTCCTAACAAACTAGATACGGAAAATGTAATTATTTTTTTTAAATAACTATGGTCTGTCGTTTTTTGAAACAAGAAATTTAAATGGGAATTAGTTAAAAAGTCAAAGTTTAAATCAAAAATATGTGTTCCATGTAAGATTGTTTTCGAAAATGTAATTTGTTCATAATTCTTTTAGTTTTATGTAATAAACTTATTTAAATAAATTCGTACCTTCCCTTATCTGATCACCAGCATGGCTAAAGGAATTATTCCCAGAGGTATTGTGAGGTGACATGTCCAGGTATTCAAGCGATTTCCGGTCGGGCTAAAAAATTCTTATAACAGACTTACATAATGCAAGTTCATGCATCGCTTCACTTCTGAGGGTATTGATCAATGTACACGGCCGATAACTTGTAACTTTCCATTTTAAAACTATCAGGTGTAATATACATCTTTGTCTTGCGTGTCCGATAGTGATATACTATAATCATTACTAAAGTCATACGCTTGTTTACAAATAACATTTCTGGTGTAAAAAATGATATTTATGAAAATCTAAATAATTCCAAAAAAAGATTTGATAAAATAAAAATCTATATATGTTATATTTACATATTTTCCAAGGGTAAATTGGGGAAAATGTAAGTATATACTCGTTGTCAATAATTATGGACATTTTGAAACATACAAATATTGATTTAACAAAAATGTACGCACTTGTCGATCATTGGTTTATACGCCTAGATAGAAAGTTACGGAACTATAGATAGTCGCAATTTAGAATATAAACATGTATATTGAATATAAGAGAGAAACATCCAGAACCAATCTGAATTAAATACAGGTCGATATCTAACTTGCTTTGGTTCATCGAAGTTATGGACATAGTAAAATCACAGATTTATATTTCAATTAGATTGTTCTCGAACAGTTTAAGAAATTCGTCATCATCACGGGTATAATGTATAATAATATGAACATGGTTCTATTACTACCTTATGCCAATTTTCCTGTTCCGACATGCATGTTATATTTATGCCACTGGACGTACACTAATGATCCCCAAAAAGCCTATATTTGAAGAAATAAAGAAATTCACTCCGGATAGACTGATAGTAGTTGTATTAACGTCTAATCAGCTAGGGGTTGATTAATTTATTATAGTTAGCTTGTGTGGGAATAAACCATTCCCAATATTGCACTTATGCATAAAATATTAAATGAGAGTAATATAAGAGAAAATATAAATACGAAAAGTCGCATATCTGGTAGAAAAAAGTCTCACCAACTATAAAATTTTACGTACAATTGTCATTCTAAATCGAAATAACGGACAGTCATTAAAATACATGCATGTACGCTGTCTTAAAAAGGGGTGCCGCAGTTGCATAGTATTCATCATCAATCTATTTCAAGTTTATATTTTCCTGTTATTTTTATAAGTTAACGCAGAGACATGTATATGCATCTCTAGTTAACGACAATCAACTATATAAATATCTGAATCTAATGTGACTTAACGTTCATCTCTTTCTTTTTTCTTTTTTTCTTTCTTTTTATTTGGGCAGGAACAAATACATTGTTAGATATATTGTTCCCAGGTTTGGAGGGGGATTAAGGTCAAGTCTATCGAAAGTTACAAAATAAGAACGTTGTATTTATGAATAATATTTACAAGAAGAATTCTGTTCTTGGACGTAGTTTTCTTTTTTTTTAGTTCAGTGATTTAAATTGAGAGAAAAAATCTAGTAAGAATTTAAATCGTTCCGGCAATCCCACGCCTAAGACTCCTCTAAAATCATGAATGTTCATGCTTCACCATGTTCAGAATTTTCTTTGCATTGGTACATTCTGTATCGGTAGTGATTAAGGTATAACAGAGCTACTTGTATATTACCTGTATGAGGTAAGGTGACGTCCCTTGAGGTCTTACGTATACAGGTTCACATTTATAATGGTTTCTGATATAACAAGGTTTTATGACATTCACACTTCTGTATGTTCTGTATAACAAATTCTTATCTTATTTTCAGACCGAATGAGGATGTGAATATTTTCCAGGAAAAATATTGAGTATCAAATTAATTTCGGGATTTTTTTCTTTCTAAACTATATTAATGTAACTGATATAATTTTCTCTGCACATTTAAATATTAAAGGTTACCGATGATAATTTAAAATAGGGCCAAACAACACTCTAGTGAAGATCAAAAGACTAACATAACATAATGCTAATGTTTTAATTATCGTGAATTTAACTACGCCTTTACCAGGCAGTGTCAGTATAATACACATTATATTTACACGGTACTAGCGGGAAATGTTTGCTAGACTGAAGCAAGGATTTGTATAGTAAGACAAATCCTTGACTGAAGTAAAAGGTGAGAATACAAACAAGCATTTTTATTACACTATCAGTTATAAATGTTTGTTCAACATATCCGTCGAAAAAAAAATTCATAAAAATATTCTATTGTATGATTTACTTTTATCACATGTGGAGCAGGATCTGCTTACCCTTCCGGAGCACCTGAGATCACCCCCAGTTTTTGGTGGGGTTCGTGTTGCTTAGTCTTTAGTTTTCTATGTTGTGTCATCTGTACTATTATTTGTCTGTTTGTCTTTTTATTTTTGGCCATGACGTTGTCAGTTTGTTTTCGATCTATGAGTTAAACTGTCCCTCTGGTATCTTTCGTCCCTCTTTTATTACAATAATCATATCAGAAATCCCTAAAATATTTATCGTACATTTTGATTTAAAAAGTTGCACGGCTGATCACTTTACTCACTTAATTATTAGTCGGTTAATAATTAACCGAGCTAGAAGAAGTCGGCGTCCTTCAGGGGCCAGCTGAAGGACGCCTCCGGGTGCGGGAATTTCTCGCTGCATTGAAGACCTGTTGGTGACCTTCTGCTGTTGTCTGTTCTATGGTCGGGTTGTTGTCTCTTTGACACATTCCCCATTTCCATTCTCAATTTTATTAATAGATACGCAAAATAGTCGTCGATGCGCTTTAAATCGCGTTATTAGAAAATTAACGAACAAGACTTAACATGAGATTAAATCCACTCCCGGCATGCAATTAGACTTAAACTAGGAAGTTCGAATAAATAAAATTAATAATTCCTAATTTTCTTCTTTATTAGTGTTCATATCCAGATAAACCTTGGTGAATATGTTTTTTATGGTATTATAAACATAATAAGATGATAAGTAAAAAATCGCGAATTTTCCCTTTAAGGCCTTATTGATCTGGATAAAAGCGGACGATTATCTATACTACTAACATAACGAGGTCCAATTTATTAGCCGGCATGACGTAAAAAAGAATTCAACTTTATATATTATTACTAAAGGACAATGGTGTTGATTAAAATTACACCATTCCAGGCCCTTTTTTTCCAATTAATAAATATGAACAATAATTAACAAGTTCTGGGTCGAATCCGATACCGATACCAATAGTACCTGTTACATGTTACCTAATCTGTACATTCTGCCTCTGACAGGCGCAACACCAAACGGTGTATTTGGGATTTGCTATATACACGGGTCATAATCACACCTGAACTTCGTCATTATACAGGGATTGCCACTACTAAATTCAATCATTGACCAAAAAAATATATCTACAAGTAGTTTCCGGTTGTAGTAAGAAAACCAGGA